ATTGCGCATTGTCACTTTGGAACGTCTCGCATTCCCGTAGTTTCATCATGCTTAGGGTTAGTATTTGATAGACTTGCCTTTCACCGCTTTGAACCACATTGACAAAACTCAGCACATGATCATGTTGACAGGCCATCCCAATGAGGCCTGTTTCATCGGCAGCCTTCCATGTCGAGCCACCTCGCTGGTCTGCTGCTGCAGTATGCTGAGAAGAGCAATGATCCTTATACGGAAGAATTTTTTCAGCCCTGACATGAGAGGAGGTGCTTTATTTTGGATTGAAAATACATTAGATTTGACAACATGTTTGTTCTTCACGGGCTCCCATTCTTCGACCTTTTTGGGATCAATGAATAGAGGAGGAATTTTAACCACCTTTTCTTCATACTCTCGACTGGCTGCCTTGTGCCGGCGATGCTGGAAATTTCCATCGACACAAACTATGTAGTCCGGCTCATCAGGTTCAGGGTTTGCTTGAAGAGGTCCAAAACACCGTGGGCAATTCATGGCCAACTTCTCCATGGTCGTTAGACCTAGTGCACGGATGGTCAGCTCCTCCTCATATCGAAGCATCTGTCTGTAAGCGTCTATAGCCAGGGAGAAAGGCCGTCGCCACCTTCGAGGCTGACATAAGAACATTGATGAGTAAAAATTCATGATACCATTGGAATGAGAGGATAAATTACATACCTCACTTGTACCCGCTACCAAAAGGAGTGGGTTAGCTGGATCCAAGAATTCATCAAAACCAAGTGAGAAGCCCTGTGTTTGAACTGAGCAATACTTCCATAGGCTATGGTGAAGTCGCAAGAGTCTGATTGAAAATGCACTCTCAGGGTGAATTGGAGACCCTCCAATGAATCCCATCCGGATTAGCCTCACTTGATCAGGTAGACAGTCACAGAAAAGGATTGCCTTTTGATTGCGACCTGTTTTCTGATAGGCAATCAGCTAAGTGAAAGGTGGAAATGCAGAAGTCAATTTTACAGTACTTGTAAGGTCCACCAGGTCTACCTTTCGCAAGCGGTTTTTACCAGTTCCACATGAACAAGACTTGTTGTAATCGACACTCCAAGTGTCTAGACCCCATTGAGTTGTCCGTTTGGAACCTACCATGAAATCGAGGAACATCGGACCAAACACCTTTGCCCAATTTTGGGCCTCTTTGATCTGTTTTTTTTTGTAGTTTGAACCCTTCACGTATTCACTGAAGTTGTTGACTTCAGGTGGCTCCTCATTGCTGTCGTCCAGGATATTATGATTAATGAGGTATGCTTCTTCAGGATTGATATCGGAAATATAGTCGTTTTCACCCTCAGGATCGAATAGGTCTGGAGGAGGTGCCTGCATCGCTTCATGTTGAGGTGGTGGTTGATTTGTCAAGCGTTGGGACTGTTGTTCCAGCCAGCGTACCTCGCTGGCATCTAAATCCGCAATGATCTGGCTGGAACCTTGTGGGGTAGGCTGTGGTCGTCTTTTGGCTGAACGTCCTAAAGGGCATGCTATAGATCTTCCTTTTTTTCCCCCCATTGATTGGGCGAAAGGCCAAGTTGATTATTGAGAGGGAAACACCTGATGACCTCACGGGGGAATTAAGTGGCACATCCAATACCAATAGGGGTACACAAACATCTCAACCCGACCTAATAAAACCCATGGCAACCCAATTGATTTTTGGATTTTTTAGTGCCAAAAACTCAAAATCAATCGGGTTGGCACGGGTTTTTTGGATGGGTTTTTAAGGTCGGGTTGAGATGCTTGTGTACCCCTAATGGGTTACCCCCATTTACATTTCCATGCGAAACCTGGCCAATGCTAAGTGTTCACAATTATAATACATAGCCCTTTCCAAAAGGAGTTGGCACCGACTGCCACTTGGGTTTCATATGCCCAATTAGGTAAGATTGAACCACGGACTGAATGACATAAATTGACATTGGCAATTGGCTGCCATCCGGCATCATCCGACTGGGACACTACTAGCAATCACTGATTAGATTTCACTGATTAATTATGTGAGAAATATGACATTGCTTGGTTCATTTTCTGAATTGATTTTGGAAAGGAAGATCAATTGGGTGCGGTCAGAGTATGATAAATGGCTTATGTGATGGATACAGTTCATTCACAAACGTGAGAAAGGCTCAATGTAATATAATAGATTGGGTACTGTCTCTGCTGTCAGATAACGACAATACTTGGCTGTGTATAGTGCTATAAAGGGTATAGTACTAGTACTAGCCTTTTAGATTGAACCACTAAAGAGACACTGATGGATGGATTCTGTTTGGTTTTAATCCCCAACCCTTCAAAGAGTTTGTGTGAGTTTTGTGCCTGGGAGGAAGCCAATACCACATTATTTGAGATTGCAATTGGATTTCCTATTTGAAGATGAGGGAAATCAAGAAAATGTTGATAAAGAAAGTTTCCCAGAATGCAGGAAAGCATATTTACCAAAGAAGCAAAACACATATTTCCCACACCTTTAAAGAGTTTGTGTGAGTTTTGTACCTGGGAGGAAGACAATACCACATTATTTGAGATTGCAATTGGATTTCCTATTTGAAGATGAGGGAAATCAAGAAAATGTTGATAATGAAAGTTTCCCAGCATGCAGGTAAGCATATTTAACAAAGAAGCAAAACACCTATTTCCCACATCTTCAAAGAGTTTGGGTGAGTTTTGTACCTGGGAGCAAGCAAATACCACAATTTTGAGATTGAAATTGGATTTCCTATTTGAAGATGAGGGAAATCAAGAAAATGTTGATAATGAAAGTTTCCCAGCATGCAGGTAAGCATATTTAACAAAGAAGCAAAACACCTATTTCCCACATCTTCAAAGAGTTTGGGTGAGTTTTGTACCTGGGAGCAAGCAAATACCACAATTTTTGAGATTGAAATTGGATTTCCTATTTGAAGATGAGGGAAATCAAGAAAACCGTGATAATGAAAGTTTCCCAGCATGCAGGAAAGCATTTTTAACAAAGAAGGAAAACACATATTTCCCACTTTATCATGGCATCTTTGGCCATGATAGGTCAAATTTGTAGGAGGTTGGGAATGTGGCAAGTTTTTCAAAAGCCGCCCTACATGGAACTTCACACCAAAATCATCACAAATTCAACCCAAACCTATTGAAGATGTTGGAAATATATGTTTTGCTTCTTTGTTAAATATGCTTTCCTGCATTCTGGGAAACTTTCATTATCAACATTCTCTTGATTTCCCTCATCTTCAAATGGGAAATCCAATTTCAATCTCAAAAATTGTGGTATTGGCTTGCTCCCAGGTACAAAACTCACACAAACTCTTTGAAGATGTGGGAAATAGGTGTTTTGCTTCTCTGTTAAACATGCTTTCCTGCATTCTGGGAAACTTTCATTATCAACATTTTCTTGAATTCCCTCATCTTCAACTTGCAAATCCAATGTCCATCTTAAATATTGTGGTATTGTCTTCCTCCCAGGTACAAAACTCACACAAACTCTTTGAAGATGTGGGAAATATCTGTTTTGCTTCTCTGTTAAACATGCTTTCCTGCATTCTGGGAAACTTTCATTATCAACATTTTCTTGATTTCCCTCATCTTCAAATAGGAAATCCAATGTCAATCTCAAAAATTGTGGTATTGGCTTCCTCCCAGGTACAAAACTCACACAAACTCTTTGAAGATGTGGGAAATATGTGTTTTGCTTCGTTGGTAAACATGTTTTCCTGCATGCTGGGAAACTTTCATTATCAACATTTTCTTGATTTCCCTCATCTTCAAATGGGAATTCCAATTTCAATCTCAAAAATTGTGGTATTGGCTTGCTCCCAGGTACAAAACTCACACAAACTCTTTGAAGATGTGGGAAATAGGTGTTTTGCTTCTCTGTTAAACATGCTTTCCTGCATTCTGGGAAACTTTCATTATCAACATTTTCTTGAATTCCCTCCTCTTCAAGTTCGAAATCCAATGTCCATCTTAAATATTGTGGTATTGTCTTCCTCCCAGGTACAAAACTCACTCAAACTCTTTGAAGATGTGCAAGATCTTTGTTTTGCTTCTTTGTTAAATATGCTTTCCTGCATGAGGGAAAAGGTTCATTATCAACATTTTCTGCAATTACCTCATCTTCAACTTGCAAAACCAATTTCAATCACAAAAATTGTGGTTTTGGCTGCCGCTCAGGTACCAAAGACACACAAACACATTGAAGACATGGGAATTATCTGTTTCCCTTCTTTGGTAAATATGATGTCCTGCATGAGGGAAAACTTTCATTATCAAGATTTTCTCGAATTCCCTCATCTTCACCTTGCAAATCCAATTTCAACCTTAAATATAGTGGTATTG